CTCCTTTGCCCCCTGCTTTGGGCTCCTGGCTCTTTCTGCAGCCTTTCTACTGCTACTCCTTGGCTCCTTCTTACTGCTGTCTTTCAGCCCCACCCCCGATTTTCTGATAAGAAAGATCTACACCTAGCCTTCTCGGAAAAGGGCGAAAAAACTTGGAGGTCCCGTGTGCAAGTTGAGCACGGTAAAGATCCCTTGGTGGTCTATAATCGATAAGAGTAGGCTCCGGCCGCCACCCGGGCAAAATTCAAAATTTCCTACCAATTGAAAATGTTTAATGTGTCCTGCGCCCTCATATGACCTTATGCAGTTGCGAGCGCCGTAAAACACTTACTAAAACAAAAAAATGAAGAAGTTTTCAGATATTGTTTTTCTCAAGTTTCTTTTGCCTTCTGAGATTATGGTTCAGTTCAGTAATGAGTAGAGAACTATGTGTTCTTATACTATACATCAAAGAATCCGAGGCAGAGAACGTTTTGAACTGAAATTACCTCTCCACCTACTCACCATCCTTGAAATTAATTTTCGTAAATTTCGCACAAGGTACTGGAAGAATGCTAAACGTGCCCTCAAGGCCTTTTTTAGTGTAATGAGTAAAGAACTCTCAGTCGTCTCATGACTTTCCTTTCGAGATTTAGACCTACTTTAAAAATTGGGGCCTTTTGCGACTACATTATAATGATATGTGTTTTGTTTGTGTGAGGGTGGGGGGTGTTGTGAGCAGAGTGAGGGTGGGATGAAGGGTTTGATGTTTAAATGGGTGATTGAACATACCAAGTGAACAAAAAGCATGTAGACTGCTCGGTGGAAGACTCCGTCATACGTCACTTTTTTAGAATAGCTTGTGTGTCACCATGTGGTAGAATCAGGCACTGGTCAATTTTGGGGCATGTGGAGTTACTAGTTTCATCTCAAATTGTGTTCATTTGTCTTTTTTTTTTTAAAATAAAAAAACAACAACCACATTTGTCTTAAATAAAAGCCCAGATATTTGCCGTTGAAGGAGGTGGGTGTTGCCTGATGCAAAAGTAAAACTAGCGAGAAAATGGCAGCCAAAATATGGGGAATTCTATAGCTTGAGATTCCTTGGCAACTGAAAATTGACAATTTTTGTACCTTTTATCAACGTTTTCCAGTAAAATTCATACAGAAATATGTTTTTAAATGGACACAAAAGGTGTTGAGCAAATAAAAAAAAAATTCAATAAAAATTGTCACACCGGTGAAAAAATCGTTTTACTTCGTTTTCATTATTTTGATGAGCGCCTGATTTCACCACGCTGCCTCACATGTAGTGGAGTCTTCCACCGAGCAGTCGGTTTCTTTGCCGTCAGAATCATCGGTTGTTTCTCTGTCAAGCCTTGTACGTGTTGAAAGAAAAAAGGAAGAATGTTTTATACATACATCTTTATTGGTAATGTGAGAAATTGTGTGGAAATGAATAGTGAATCTTCGACATACGGCTGTCGCACCTACTCTAAAGGCCACCTGTCTGAGACAGTCAACTGTACAAGCAATCACTTTGGAATTTCCCCCTCACAGTTTGTCTTAACCCTTCCAGCCCCAAACGCAAATATTTTCAGCAGCTCTTGTACCTCCCACCCTCCCAAGAGCGTATATTCTCAGTTTCAGGGGGCACCGAATTTGCGCTTGTTTCTAAATTAGCTAACCTAATTAAAGTTTAATTTTCATAATATTTATTCATTTACCTTTAAACATTGTCATACTTTATTATCTAAACCTAATTACAAAGGTACTACATCACTTTTTAGAATGCATGCTTCTTTTTCTAATGTACTACTGTATTGGCTGGGACTGGGGTTAGGGAGTGCACAAATAGGGCTGGGGCTGGAAGGGTTAACATTATAATGGCACTGTCCAAGATACCCACCTGTCTAAGACAACCACTTTCCTACTCCTCAAGAGTTTCTAGCCGTCTTGGACAATTTCAAGTGTGTGGTTGGTGGGTGCTTTGATATGCTGTGCTCCTTCTTTCCTTTTAAACATCTGTCATACTAATCTCTCCTCCCTCTTTGTTTTTTTTGTATAATGTAAATCTCTAGTGAAACCTCTAATCTTGGGCATTTGTATGACCTAATTGGGATGCAAGTGCTGTAAAACTTTTACTGAAACTAAAACTAAAACAATGTTTTGACTGTGCCTGGTGTTTCAACTTGTATTCATTTTTCTCTCATTTCTTCCACACAAGCACGGAGAGCTCCCGCCCTTCTACAAGAGGTAAGAAATAATGTGTGTCAGGATAATTGTCCCTGGGTTTTTTTGTCTACTGGGCCCTGAGTTATCTTATCTATTACAAGAAAATGTAATTGGAACCCCAACTAAGTATTATTCAGCATCAATTTTTTTCTCAGAGCCATTTTAATTTCGGAGTTCCTGTGGGCACGTTTTGACCTTGTCCCATATCTATTATCTATTTGTGGTGGCCGAATTTTGCTATTCAAAAGGCTTTTTAATGGCTGCATCGATCGACATGCGGTTTTCGCAAAAAGGTTCTTTAAAATATTCTCCAGAGCATGATGCCCTTCGTTTTTTCAGTTTAAAAAGACAGTTATGCTGCTAAAAACTAAATTTCTTTATTTGGTCGATTGCTTTTGTTGGCCGACGCTTCTGTCTCTGTAATTTTAGAAAAGGAGGTTTCCGTTCACTAACCGTGCGCACTGTTTTTAGAGTATAGATACCTTCTAATTTTTGCATCTCTCAAGGTTTGCTCCATTCTGGTAGAATGTAAATATCATAAGCCAATGACTTTCGGCTGACGTTAATGCACCGATCATTCCTTTCATCGAAAGGGGGCCCAGCTAGTATATATATATATTACAAACAATCCTTTTTCTGTCAACATATTGTGTTAGGAGATTAAAAAGGTTCTCGCAACTCATGAAAATTTGCATTTCTTTCTAACTTGACTATTCTGCTTCAGGAAAAATTCTTATGAAAATGGTTCCATCGCTTCCATAACATTTGACGTCTCAAATCTCTAAAGTATCTAACATGGAGATAAAACCCTATTAATCTCATACGGAGATATTCCTAATAGTGCAGTAGGAGAAACTTTTTAACATTGATACTACGACCCTCCCCTCACTCACTCACACACGCACATGAACGCATGCACGCACGCACACATGCAAGCCTTCACACGCACACAAACACTGCTTGCTAGTCAGTTTTCTTTTGTTATCGAAAGCATATATTATGTGAAGCATCTTGGTGAAATCAGGCACTCGTCAAAATAATGAAATCGAAGAAACAGGCATTTTTCTGCCAGTTTGGCCATTTTTATAGACTTTTTCTTTTTTGGCTCAACACTTTTTATGTCTATCTGAAATCACATTACATTGAACTTTACTGTAAAATGTTGATTAAAGGCACAAAATATATTTTTTTCCAGTTTTCAAAGACTCTCAAGCAATTGAAGTTACAAAACTTTGATGGCCATTTTCTTGCTAATTTTACCACTGAAACCAGACAAGCTCACCTCCTTCTATCTCAAAAATCTTGACTTGATAGATGGGCGTTTTATTTATTGAAATCAAGGCAAATGAATAAGTTTTCAGATGATACTTATGAACTCCACATGCCTTAGAATTGACGAGCACCCGATTCCACGCGTCGTGACACATATTCTTATTTTCCATATTGATTTTGTTTTGATGGGAGGTTGGTGGATGCTTTGATGTGGTTTGTTTCTTCCCTTCTATCTAACATCTGTCGTCTTTATCTCTCCTCCTCCTCCTTTTCTTTGTATGTTAATTTCTTGTAATACCTTTAATCTTTGGCACTTACATGACATATTTGTGTTTTAAATGCTGTAAAACTCTAACTAAAGTAAACAAAAGTATTTTGTCCTTTTTTCCCATAATTTTCCCATTTATTAATTTGACATTTGAAGTCATTTTATATTCCTTCGAATTATTGGAGCCTAGTGTTGATTACTCTTACGGTATGTGATATTTTGCCTTTTGTCTACTTTGTCAGTGAGCAGTGCGAGCACAACTGCGAGCAGCTCATCTCGATCTACAGTTATCTCCCCTCCCCCTGGGAGCCTGGAGCCAGCCGGTCTCGGAGATGAAGAAAGTCTTCGACCTCAGTGAGTTCTGAGTTCATCTCTTTTTAAACAATTTTTTGTCACATGAGTATTCTATCTTTAAGTACTCAATGAAATAGACAGTTGAGGTTTCAACTGTATTTGCATAGTCTGGAATCACGCTTTTTTTTCGTATGCTCCTAAAACTTTAGAATTCCTTCCCAAAAGAAATGCATATATGATAACGTCGTAGAGTTTCAGAAAAGTCTATAGACACATTTGTTCAACACTATTGTCTGCCTGTAAATTTTGTGTGAGAATGTGTGTACCCTGTGGGGTTTTCTTTGTGTTCGTGTGTGTGTGCGTGCGCGCATGTGCGTGTATACATTTTCTATCCTTCTGACTGGTTAATTAAGCTGAGCTTTAATTCTGTATTGTACAGAGCTTAGAGACTCTTTCTAGGGATTAGCTGCTAAATAAATTTCCATTATAATTATTGTTTTTATAGATTTGAACTTTAAAAAATAATTTTCCGTCACAAGAGCATTCAAACTGACCAGCAAAATAGACAGTTGAGCTTTCGTCTGTAGCTGCATAGATTTGAATTCTTTTTAAAAATAATAATATTAGAGATAGCATTTGTATAGCGCAAATTCCAACTCAACAGCAAACTCTATGCGCTTTACAATCCCTTATTGCCTCAGCAAACCTGGTAGCATTCTGAAACAATCTCAACTTGCTGGGAAGCATACAGTGCAAGCTGCCATTTTATAGGCGCTAAAACACTGACATACTAAAAAAAAGAAAATTTCACCAGGATTGAGAACAATAACAAAAAAAAATTGTTTTTGTCACAGGAGCATTCAAAGTGCTCAGCGCAATGGCCAATCCAGGTCGCCGAGCCGTCAGACGACCCCGACCCGGACTGGTCCCGCAACTGTGTCGACCATATTTGTCGGAACTCGCACATCGTCGGCCCCCACTGCCGCCAGCGGCCTTGTGGGTTGGGGAGATGCGGGGTCCAGTCGTGGAGCCTCCCCGTCTCACCAGCCTCAGCACGTTAGAGCAAAGCAGGTCACCAAGTGAGTACCCTTTTCTTTCTTTAACCCTTTAACCTTTGCTTTTTTTCACCGTGGTCAATGCCATCCACTTTCTTATTGGTCGTCATCGTCGCTGGTTTTGTGAAAGTTGTAGTAAAGTTTTGTTGTTATCATCGTCATTATAATATAATATTGATTACCATCATTGTTAGTTCTATAAAAGTCATTTTAGAGTTTTATCATAATCATCATCATTGTCACCATTGTTGAAAAGTATATATAACAGGCTTGATATTTTTCAATGTTAAGTGTATTGTAAACTCCCCAAATTCAGAATTGGTTGAAAGGGGTGTAAAACTCAGCCCTGATTTGGTGTCACCAGTGCTCTAAGACACCATTGGTGCTCTATCTCTAACCTGCACATAATTGAAAGGCGTGAAAAAACTTGAGTCCTGATTTGACTGAGCTGACCTAAGGTACTATCGGTGCTCTAACCTAAAGGGGATTGAAAGGGGTGTAAACACTCAGCCCTGATTTGTCCGATCTGATGACGGCCCTGCGTGACCTCGTGCTGGGTCTCAGGATGAGAGCACACTTGGTGCCATGGGTGCTCTAACCTAAAGGGGATTGAAAGGGTATATAAAAACTCAGTCCTGATTTGGCACCATCAGTGCTCTTTGGTGCTATGCGTGCTCTAACTCTTACTTACTCGGGATTGATTTGAAAGAGGTGTAAAATTTGAGCCCTAATTTGACTGATCTGATCTAAGGCGCAATCGGTGCTCCAATCTAAAGGGGATTGAGGGGTGTAAAAGCATAGCCCTGACCTGACTGATCTGATGGCCCTGTGTGTTGTGTATGAGGATGAGCGAGCACCTGGTGCCATCGCTGCTCTGAAAAAAAATGGTGAAATGGTATAGGTTTAACGCCCCTATCAGCACTGTTAGGTTATTTAAGAGGCGGGACCTCCGAGTTGAACGTCAGTCTCCTAAAGGACTGAGCCAAGTGGGAACTTCGTGTAAAATACCTTTCACAAGGATACAACGTCGGACCGAGCTGAGGCTCGAACCCGGAACCCGCATTCTCATGATTATTAGTCCGGTAGCCTAACCACTAGGTTACGGACCCCACTATCGATGCTCTTACCTAAAAAGGGGGGATTAAAAGCGCTGTAAAAGCTCGGTCTTGATTTGCCTGCGGTGCCCTAAGCTACACAGGATTGTAAGGGGTGTAAAAACTCAGCCCTGATTTGACCGATGTGATGACGGCCCCGCGTGACCCCCCGCGTGACCTCCCTCGTGACCTCCTGCGTGACCTCCCTCGTGTTGTGTCTCAGAATGAGCGAGCACCTGGTGAACACCACCAACGACCTGCTCAACCACCTGGCCAGCACCGCCTCTTGCTGCACCCGGGAGGAGGAGGAAGTGGTTGTCGTGGAGACGGAGGCCGAGAGGTCAATGTGTTCCCAGGCTGTTGTTGCGTTGTTCGTCGAAATGAGTTACCTGCCCTTTTCTGTTTATGCTTGTCAAGTGTGTGTGTGTGTTCAGTGTTAGGCTCTGTTGTCATGAGTCACTTTTGAAAATGATGTAGGGTAAAGAGGTTTTTTATTTGGTTTTTTTTTGGGGGGGGGGGGTTAAGTGTTTTACGGCTCTCGTAACTGCATAAGAGGTCATATGAGCACGCAGGACACACTGAACATTTTCAGTTGGTAGAAAATTACGAATTTTGCCCGAGTGGCGGCCAAAGCCTGCTGTTGTCAATTTTGGACCACCAAGGGATCTTTAAAAAGCGCAACTTGCACCCTGGACCTCCAAGATTTTTCGCCCTTGTCCAAGAAGGCTAGGTGTAGATCTTACCTACCATAAGATCAGGAGTGTGGCTGGAAGACAGTAAGAATACTAAGAAGGAGCCAAGGAGTAGCAGTAGAAAGGTTGCAGAAAGAGTCAGGAGCCCAGAGGAGGGGCAAAGGAAGTGAAGGGGTGGGAGGCAGAAAGTAGAGACAAAAGCAGACGACAGAACTTTGTTAGAGAGCAAGGAAGGAGGTGAAAGGTAGGTAGAAAATTTTAGACTGAGAAGAAAATTGTCTGCCGCTATCCGGATACGAACCGGGACCCTATTGAATGAGAGGCGAACACCTTAACCTCTAGGCCACGAGAGTCCCCTTTAAATTACTTTAATTTCAGTTTGCCTTGTCTTTTCTCAAATAATCATACAGATAAGAGACCATCAAATAAGATTTAGAGATACATTTATTTTATATTAAATGTCTGTTAATGGGAAATGGCATAAGAAAACCACATGTTATTGTTAACTAGATTGTCTCATGAACAAAATGGATTTGAACTCTGAAGCTCCACTAGTTAGCCAAGTTTATCAGCTATCTGCTCGTTACTCTCTGCATCACTGACTTTTAGAAAAAATTATCACTTGTTTTGAAATTTGAAAACAGTTGGATAATATCTGTGAGTTATTTTTTTTCTTAAGGAAAAAGGCATTTTGTTCGTTGTTAGTACCTGACTCAAAACACTTTTTTTCAAGGAGAATTATTTTTCACTCAGCAAGTGTTGTTTTTGATTGTCTGAGGGGGTTCAGTCAGTATTTTAAAAAAATGTAAAAAGCAAGAGCTTTACCAGTGGGTGGTTGGCGGATGCTCTAGTGTGGTTTGGGCCTAATTTCCTATAAAAAATCTATCGTTCTTATCTCTCCTCCTCCTTTTTTTTGTGTGTTACCCTCTAGGAACACCTGTAATCTTGCTCAATGTGTCTCGCGCGTTCATATGACCTTTTGAAGTTGCGAGCGCAGTAAAACACTTACCAAAACAAAAGAAAAATCTGATGTTTGGCACTTTCATGCCCTATTTGTGTTGCGACTTCCGTGGAACTCTTTCTAATGCTAAAGTTAAAATCGTACCAGTTCACAGTTTGTCACAAATACTTAAGAAAAGGGGATGGTAATTCGTTTCGACATGCTTCGTGACATACGATGTGCTTTTGATGGTGAAGCATGATGCTTGATGTTTCCTTCATGCTCGTGGTAGATAGAGCTTGCCCACTCATTCTCAGTTCTGGTGCTTTTTGGTTTCAGGAATTGTTTAGCTTTTTCCCCCTATGTTGTAAGTGCGTTTTTTTGTTTTTTTACACCTTTTTGATTGAATGTGACGAGTAGTATATATTGCTATCATTTTGATTATTATTATTATAACCTTCATCATTATTATTGTTATCATTATCTTTATTATTATTATTATCATTATTAAGTCATATATGTTCCAAAGGGGTTAAGCAGACTTCTCTGCATATGTTGTATTCTGTCCACGGTTTTGCTAATTTTCCATTTGTGGACCTTGAATCTGCGTCTGTCGCTTTGCCGTCACATGCAGGAGATTTGAGTTTGGGAAAATGTTTATCGAGTATCTCGGTCCTTCTGTTGGGATGTTATATCCCTCTCTGCCCAGATTGGCCCGGATAAACAGAATGGGAAGCCCGTCTTCTTAATGATCCTTGATTTTTAGGGATGTTTAGGGGTGACCATATTATTGCTTAGATCCTGCTTTAGGCCTCTACGTTTGTTGGTGTGATGGCCTGCCTGGTCGGCTTGGTTTTGGCTAATGATATGACCAGGCCGAGTTGGTAAGTGAGTCTGAGGCCATACTTGCTGCATACAATATGACTCTAGGAGATTAAAAGTTATGGTAGCATATGCGTACAAGGTCTAGATTGTAAAGAGACACGTATTTAAAATATTGTTAGTTTACACTACCGTTCATTAAGTAAATTCCTTTATTTCTTTAATAATTAAGGAATAGCATGTTGGTTTTTTTTCTTCGAAGAAAAAAAAAATGTTCCTAGATTTCACACATTTTTTTGCTTCTTGTGTTCTGTGGAATGTGTTATTTAAGTTACCTGACTTTGCATTTTGAACTAATCTGTCTTGAAGTATGTGTGTACACTCAAGTTTCTCATAGAATTATCAAACATAATGTCTTTGGATGTACCTCGTTTTTGCTTGCTGTCATTTGGGTTGGGTTTTTAAAGTGTTGAAACAAATCAACAATTTTCTTGAATGCGCAAATTTATGTAGCTTAGTTTTTTCACTCAGTTTGTTTGCTATTGTTTTCAATTTCCTTTGTCCATCCCTGATCTAATGTGTGTGTCTGTAATCAGAAATATGTGTCATGATGCGGTGGAATCAAGCGCTTATTAATTTTTTTAGTATAATGGAGTTATTGGGTGTGTTCTTAAAGCTTGTTCATTGTCTTGCTTTTAATGTTAAAGAAAATCTATCCTGAATAGAAGTCAAGATATTAACAATTGAAGGATAGTGGCAGAGGTACAAAAAGAATTAGTGAGAAAATGGCTGCTAAAGTTTGTTGACTTCCAACGATTGTGTGTGCTTGTAAGCTGCAAATTTACATTTTTTTGGCCTTTTATCAATGTTTTCCAGTAAAATACACACAGGAATATATTTTTGAATGGACGTATAAAGGTGTTGAGCAAAAAAAAAAATTCTGTAGAAATTTCCCAAGGGGTGGAAACATGTCACTGTCTTTGATTTTATTATTCTGATAAGTAGGCTACTTGATCTCACCACGATGCTACACACATGTTCCTTCTTGTTTTTGATTGCTTGTTATGAAAATTAGATTATTGCATTGACATAACCACTCTACTGTTTAAAAAAAAGTAATGAATTCAAAACTTATGTAAAGGAGATTAAATTATTTGTCTCTTGATTTTTCTATATCTCTTTTACAAAGAAATCCGTAGCTCTAATCTATTGAGCAAAGCAAAGTTCTATGAAAAGTTAAAAACTAATATTACTGCTGCAAGGATTGCTGCTGGAAATTCTTGTTTTTTCCATCAAGAGTGTTGTCAAAGTCAAAGACAGATCACCATCCAAAAATGTATGTTTGTGGATTGTAGATGAGAGTACTTTTCCCCTTGGAATGGCTTTCAAACACAAGAGAGAATATTATTTATGCCCAAGGTTAATGCAACATATGAGTGCTGATGGGATATTTGATTATAATGATGATGTAAACACGCATGTATATGATTTTTATATAGCACTCAATCCCTTCTGTTAAAGAACATAGGCTCTGAGTGACATGTATCGGTACATTGCATTTTGACTCCAAATCTATTTATTTTTATATCATACGTTATTAAGCTAAAAACAGAAAAAACTTTAGCTGACATTTGAATGAATAAAAAGATATGATCTCTCTTAAATTGGTAAAAGCATCTCAGAGCTTAGGGCCGTGATATTGAAATAGAATGCTTAGTGTAAGACTCCGTGCACGTCATTTTGAAAAGTGACGTATGATGGTCGAAATGCCATTTCAAATTTCACCCATTGCTTGAACTTGAAGTTCTCCGTAAATGGTAAAAGTAATTTATTTATTTCAGCTGATGACCTTTAACTGCGAGTGGCAATATACAGTTTCAACAGCTTTGATACATATATGGCAGTGCGTTATTTATGGTAATTCCCTTTCTGAGGTGACCGGTGTTGTTGGCTGGTCTGATGTTGATGGCCGATCTGATGTTGATGCGAATATAGAATGTACAATTTCAACAGCTTAGAGAGAAATATGATGACGTCTTTTACACGATAATTCGCTTCCTGAGGTAATAGTAACTGATGTCGGTGTTTATTTTTTTCGCAGCCGGAGAGGAACTAGGGCGCCCAAGCCTCGGAACGCCGCGGCCGCAACTGTCGTGACCGCTCAACCCCGCGTTGACCAGCGAATCAGGTCCGAATACCAGACGGAGGTCAAGGGGCCTGATGCCAGCCTCCGTAAAGGCCCGGACAGCTCGTTGCTGACGTAAGTACTGTTTTAAGTACTGTGAAATATCAGAGGTGGGGGAGGGGGGGGGAAGGACCCACTTGCTGTGGGCCAGAGAATGTACCTTTTAATTGTTGCTGCCTCCTTGGTACTTTGTACTTTCTAGCAAATGTGTTCTTGGAAGCCTTTGTGGCCGAGAGTAAAATATCTGTCCTCGTGGTTTTATGCACCTCGCATAATTTAGCAAAATTTGATCATTTTTTTCATAATTTCTGATTATTTTCCTTTTTCATTTTTTGTTAAAATTAACAGAATCACATAATTTCACATTTTTGGGCTCAGTTTGCATAATTTCAAAATTTTTCGTGCATAAAACAACGAGGACAGAAATATAAAGACCTGTATTTTATTTTACATACAGTCGAACCTGTGTAAGACGGAATCGCAAGGAAGCCAGAAAAAATTCCGTCTTAGACAGAGGAATTTAGGGGGAGATGGAGGTTGGGGGGGGGGGGGGGTCAAAGGCCCAGCCGGTGGGATCAAGGATCGCTTGTCCGATCGGCAAGCAGTGGTCAAAACTTCACACCTCTCAATTACTATCCTGCCTGATACTGACAAGCGTCAGTCTTACTTATATTTACCACCAGTGCTTGCCTTTCATAGGACCAGTGTTTGACCTCTCCTTTGATTCCACCCTTAGCCCCACCCACCAATGCCACCCCTCACTGCCATCATGTAACAACGTTTCGAGGAACTCTTTTCTCGACTGGCTGTACGATCAGGGCTGCAGGCATTAGTCAATCTAATTTTGCACCTCTGGCTTCTGGCTACCCAGGAAAGTTTCCGTAGTGGCTCGCTACTCGAGCACTCTCACGGGCAGTCGTGAGATTTCACACCCACACTACACTGACCATCTGCATCACTCAGGGCTCACATGATGGGGTAACATGTACCTCCAAATTGCGCCCCTACTCCCCTTCTTCGCGCAGCGGCATGGCCATAGCGTTAAATTTAGAGCCGACGGAACCAAACTTGCGAGTTTTGTTTCAAATCAGGGCTGAGCGGGCAAAGCATTTTCCGTCTTAGACAGGTGAAACCCTCGGAAGGGAGCGGATTTTTCTTTCTGTTTCCGCGTTTCCTTTTTATAATGTGAGGCTACATGCAGCCATCACAGTCATGTACCACAGAAGAAGTGTTTTGGCAAGCTTTACATGCCATATGGAGTGATGAGTACGCTGGTCTGACTTGCAATGTAAAACCCAGATGTGCTGTGAATCAATAGAAAAACAGTTAACTTTGAGCGCGCTCGTATATAAATAATTATATGTCACAACGTGGTGGAATCGTGCGCTTATCAATTCAGGGGTATGTGGGATTTTTTGTATAATCTTACTACAGCTGGTTCATTTAACCATCTGTTAATTTATTTAAAAAACATCTGTTTTGAATAGAAGTCCAGATATTTGCGATTGAAGGAGGTAGGGGTCACCTGGTTTCAGAAGTAAAATTAGCAAAAAAATGGCCGCCAAAGGTTTGTGACTTCTAAAACTATTACCTCAAGAAGCGAATTATTGTAATGAAGCCTAAAATTTACTTTTTGTGTGTGTGTGCATGTATGTAGTTAACGATTTTCAGTAAAGTTCACACATAGTTAAATGGACAGAAAAGGTGATGAGCTGAAAAAAGAAAATTGTTTAAAAATTGCGCAATGGTCAGGAAAAGGCCCGATTCCTTGATTTATTTATTGTCGTGAGCACCTGATTTCACCTCAATGGCCCTACAGTTTACTTTTTGTAGATTGGTTGCAAGTGTCATTAAACTTTTACTAAACTGAAACTGAGAAAGTATATTGATGATTTACACCACTCATTAGATGGTGTGTCGATGTCATGTTTTAAAATTTCCATTAATATTTTTTTTGTCCCGTGTCCTGATTTTGGTGCCGGTATTTCAACATTTGCAGGTCATGTAAAAATGTGCCAACATGGTTGCAGATTGTTATCCTTCAAGAAAAACAAAACAAGGAAATGGGGAATTGTTTGGTCTGTGATGATGGTGATAGTCCGCTAATGATGGGCAGTAACGATGATGATGCTGTAAGTCTGGAAATGTTTCCCCCCACAGGTCCGACTACACCCAAGCTCACGGCCCCGACAAGACCCTTCATGACGGACCGGACCGTAGCCGCGTCTGTGGACCCCAGGGGGCCACTGGGCCGGACCCGCTGCTCCGATGTGGCCCTCAGAGTTCTCTCCACCAGGGACGGGATATGTCCATGGTCAGCCCGTCCGGCGTTCTCATTTCAAATGTTTGAAGTCCACGCCTCTCGTGTGACTCCTACTTCTGCGTCTCTTGCACAACTTTAAATGAATGAACGTGTATGGATTTGCTATGCTCAAGATTTGTGCACTTTACCCATGTTGCAACACTGCCTGGAACTAGATTGACTGCTCAGTGTAAGACTGGGTCATAAGTGGCGTTGGTGGCTTAGTGGCTAGGCTCTCAGACTCGCAATGGCAAGATCGCGGGTTCGAATCCCATCAGGGGCCCGGCGTTACACAAATTTTCCTCACTTCTCCCAGGTGGGAATGGGTACCCAGCTATAGACTGTGAAAGATCTTGTCAGTTTGTTAGTGTTTGAGAGCTTAATCAGCTGCTTGCACTGTATGCTTCCCGGGAAGCTGAGAATGTTTCTGAGTGTTCTATGGTCTTCTGGGGTGATAATATAGTGTAAAGCGTGTAGAGCTCGCTGTAGAGCGGGGATATGGGTTATACAAATGCTATATTTTATTATTATTGAGTCACTTTTCAAAATGGCGTGTGGCAGAGTCTTACACTGAGCAGCTGATGAGTGACGTATATATTTAAGTCTCTTTGGCATGAGCTATTTTTATCACGGCGCGGTGGAATCAGGAGTTCGTCCATTTTTGGGCAGATGGAATTGTTGGTGGTATAATCTTAATTAAAGCCTGTTCTTTTGCCTAGTGTCTGAGGCAAAAATACCTATCTATCTTATAAAGAAATTGAGATATATTTACGATTGAAGTAGGTGTACGTCACCTGGTGTCAGAGCTAAAATTAGAGAGAAAATGAGCGCCAAAGTTGAGCGACTTCCCAAGTTGGAGTGTCCTTGGAAACTACACATTTCCAGTTTTTGTGCTTTTGATCAACTAAGCAACATTTTTCAATAAATAAACTCCAGACAGACATGTGTTCTTAATGTTAGATGCACATAAAAGGTGTTGGGCCGTACAAAAAATAAATACTTTTAAAAATTGCTATCACTATGACGAATGCCTGGTTTCACGAAAATGCCACACATAAATATTTATACATAATGTGATGTACTGTTAAGTCAGTTTGTAATAAACTATAATACAATTTATTAGCTTTTAAATTGTATGCAACCTTTGTCGTATACGGCCTGTAGCTTAGAACCCAATTTAATTGTCTGTAATTTCCTTTGATATAAGAATGAAGCTTTACTTAGGAAAGAAACAAAAGTTGCTGGATCTAATCTGAGCTGGCACTGTTTTAGATTTAGACATATTCTAGTTTGTTTTGTTTTAAAAAAAATTCATTTCCAGATAGAGAGTAATGAGAACTATAATTCTGACTGGAAATAGACTCATAGAGTTGGGAGGAAGTTCACCTCAGAGACGTTGGAGGCGTTGAGTTGTATATTACGTCATTGCTCAGAAGTTTACGTATCTCCGTGGACAGCACTGATAGCGTGTCTTGTCCATTTTATCAGAGGGAAGAAAGTAAGGAACGCAGTTTTCAGTTTATGTTTTCCCCTTTATTTTCACTCTTCTACAGGAATTGTGTTATTATTACATATATTTTTTGTTGTTTTTCTGTTGAATCATCTAATAGTAGTTGTGTATATTGACTGATTGATTTTTTATTTGCAAATGCAACTTCCTAAAGTTTCGGGTATTTTCACCAAGTCTCAGCGGCATTCCTGCATTTACGAGAGAGTTTGTTTCCTAGTTTGATGCAAGATAAAGTGTTAGCAATATTACTACTACTTATAAGTGCTCAATATATTATAATGTCCATTTTATGATGGTAATATTTCCGTATTTTATACATGTATAGAGTACAGTGTAGTGAGTGAGCGTAGCTGTACTGTGAAGGTGCTGCTTTACTAAATACTAAAGGATTATCCATTCTGATTTGGAAATGAAAAAAGGAGAAAGAAAGTGAAGTCAGTACAGACCTGTAAACATTCTTTGTCTTTCATGTCTCAAAATTACATGTTTTCGAAACAATAGTCAACTTTGTCTCGGTAAATGTGTGCAGGCTGTGCGTAGTTGGCAGGTGCTCTGGTGTGATTTACTCCTTCTTTCCTATCAAACATGTATCATCCTCACCTCTCTTCCTTCTTTTCCTTGTATGTTACTGTTACTCTCTAGTGGTAGTAACACCTCTATAGTCTTCGGCACTTATACAACCTATTTGTGTTGCAAGTGCTGTAAAACTCTTGCTAAAACTAAGAAAATAACATAAAATTGTGCAATGGATTTCTAGTATTTCACTACTACAATGTATTTTTGTTTAGCCACTGCAAATTTTTGGAAGTTCTGACAGTTACTGTGACTCTCAAAAAGCGGTTTAAAGATAAAAATCAAAAGACAGGGAGACTTCATAAGTGCCTGTGGTGAAGTGTTGCCACAGGTGAAGTAATCATCTCTTTCTATGGAATCCCTGCATGTCACTGTTTTTCTTTCTTTTTTCTTACTGCGATCTAAAGATGTAATCTTTTTGGCTATAATGTGACCTTTTTAAAATTATGATGCACTCATGTTCTACTTAGTTCTTGATTTTTTTTTTTTTATGGTACATTTCTTGTAATGAATAAATCCTGTGCTTAAAAATGAATGTGCTGCGTATTATTAGTACCACAACAATTTGTCTTTGATCTGTTTTTGTTTGTCCAAAAGTATTCTGAATAGAACTGGACCCTACAAGTGAAAGTCTATCGAGATTTGTGGCTTCCTGACTAATGAACAGTCTATTGTATCACTCACACAGTCACTAGGTGCTCCGTTAGTACCTCAGTTCGTGTCATCATGCTGGACCATGGAGCCTATGGCTCTGGTTTGAATCCCAGACTGGGATTTCTTGAACTCCTTTTGTTTTGTGGAGTTATCAAGGCTTTATACTCGTTTGGCTCAGTCTTGTTGGAGTTAAATGTTAAATTTGGAGGAACCCGACTGAAATAACCTAATAGTGTTAATAGGGCCATTAAAAACAGAAACCCCTATTTCATTTTACCTTGTTATTTGTGTGAACTCTCATAAATTTCCACTTTGTTTTTTTTTCAAGTGGGGCCCTTTTTACATTTATTAATTCTAACATTCGAGCAGTACAGATTAAAAAATTGGACATATTTTTATTCCACTTGTATTCTCAAGTTTCATATCCTTCTTTGTTTATATTTATACCTTTTCAAATGACTTGCTTTATGTCAAGTAAGGTCCTTTAAACTTGTAAAAAAAATTATGGAACTAACTTTGACTGAAATTTTAGACGAAGAAAACCCCCATTTAAAAATTCATACACAATATGATATAATATGTATATAGTATATGCATATTGATGGATGTTGTGTACATGTACTACAGTAAATATATATATATTCAAGAAATCATTTTTGAAACTATTATTAGGAGACATGGTAACGGAACACCATATACACAGTAATATACTGTGTTTTGTTTTTTATTTTAAGGATTTCAAAAATGATTTCTTGAATATATATATATATATATATATTATATATATATATATATATATTATATATATATATATATATATTATATATATATATATATATTATATATATATATATATATATATATATATATATATATATATATATATATATATATATATATGTACTCTATATAGGTTGAGTCACAGGTTATTGTTAATGGCTGATCCCTGTGTGCTACTTAATATAAATATATGCTCTGCATTATACGTAAATATTATCGTAACAGATTTTGTGACTTATTTTTAACTTTTTCTCCTTTTTTTTTTACCTTAATAAAGTTTTTTACCTTGAATCTCAGTTATCTCTCTTACTTGAAGTTGAGTATAATATAAGTTTTCTTAGTATGTGTCAATGTTATTTCGCTACCTTAGAATTACAAATTTTTTGGTGAAATTTCTGGCTATTTTGAGTTAATAGCTTAATAAGACTGTGACTCACTAACCATGACTCATGAGGTGTGAAACCAAATGTTCTATCTGCTCTATCAAAATCGTAAGATTTTTCAAAGTCATTATCAAGATATTCAAAGAATTTCATTTAAAAAAGCTTGACACTATGTGAAACTCAAAAATCTCTCACATCTAGGTACTGTGCAGATAGAACTTTGTAATTCTGAGGTAACAATTACACTAACTCAGGACTACAAAGTTCCGACACTTTTGGCCGTTTTGAGTTACAAAAACCATGTGATAAGAAATCAAATGCTCTATCTGCTCTATCAAAATTGTAAGATTATTCTCGGTTGTTATCAAGATATTCAAAGTATTTCATTCGAAAAAGTTTGACATAATAGGAAACTCAGTTTTTTTACTTCAAATTTCTCAAAACTAGGTACTGAGCAGTTGGAACTTTGTAATTCTGAGGTAGCGAAATAGAGGGGAGAGACTTCTGTAATTTCCCTTCATTCAGAGTTCTGATACATTCCCCAATTTCTCACAGTGTGTCTCATCAGTATAACGATATACTATCATATATACAGTGGAGATCTGAAATCTGCTGGACCGCTGGATTTTCTTCAACTTAGCAGACTTTTGTGCAGAGACGTCGCTCATATATTCGCTATAGAAGAAAATAAATTGGAGATTTTCATTTTCTTTCGTTTTAGTCCACTGTATATCATCCTATTATTACTGGTCTTTCGGATGTAGGTGCCAACTCGGACATCATCATTCTCTTAGTCTTTCTCACCCTGCATCAGGGTATAGGCCACAAAATACCCCAACAACTTTTCACGTTTACTTATCGGAAACCTATCCTGGACTCTCTCTCTCTCTCTTGCCTTTTTTTAACTGCCAGTGGAGCAAAGGCCATCAAGAACGTTCCTCCAGCGAAGCCTGTCCTGTTCATCCTTTCTATCTGTCCCCATGGTTTTATGCACCCCGCAAAATTTAACGAAATTTGATCATTTTTGCATAATTTCTGAGAATCTTCCTTTATCATTCTTTGTTAAAATTAACAGAATCGCATAATTTCACATTTTTGGGTTCAGTTTGCATAATTTCAGAATTTTTCTTGCATAAAACGACGGGGACAGTTCTATCCTGGACTAGCCTCTTCATATTATATTCTGTGTATTCCCACTTTTCCGTATACTGGCTTCTATGGTGTGGTGGTAAGGGGCTCGCTGTCGCTCGAAAGAGATCTCAGTTTGATTCAGTTTGATTTTGATTCCCGGCCCCCTTCTTTACACACCACACAGTGACGAGGAGAGAGATTTAGTTTTAGTATTAGTAAAAGTTTTACAGCACTTGCAACACAATAAGGTCATAATATAAGTGCAGAAGATTAGAGG